GTGTAAGATACTCGAGGATTTGGCTCATAAGATTTAAAGAATTGGGTTTACAGGCACGCAATTGTGACAGTAAGGTAATGCAAAAATAAGGCCGTTGAATCGAAAGAAGTGGTGGTATACCTTGAGAAGTGGAAAATGAGAAGGCTCCGAAGGCTTTAATAAGTCCCAAATGCAAATTTCACCATCATCAGCCCCAGAAGCCAGTAGGTTTGAGCTGTTAGCATTAAACTCTAGACCACGAACCTAAAATACAAGAAAAAGTAGCACGGACGCACACATCATACGAGTGATAAAAGAAAACAGCGTTTAGCAAGAAAGTTATGCATGGAAGCACAACTCACAGGGCCTTTGTGAACTGAAAGATGTCCAACGAGTGCATTATCACTGGACTGGGAGCTGAAAAATGTGACAGTTGTTGTAGTTAGACTCGTTTCAGATGAAAATTCAGGTACCACATATGTGGAGATAGAGCGAAATAGACAATGAGCGGGCGGGGGGGGGGGAAATAAAAGTGATCACTGAGAAAATAAATTGAAGCAAGGCTCGTAGATAAAAGGAAACGCACCCGATCAAAGAAAGAGGATTCCATAGATCTATATTGCCGTCGACAAGGCCGCCGGCAATAAGACCAAGGGAGAATTCCTCGGATCCAGATCCGTTTTTCCCCCAGGCGAGTCTATTGAAGCGCTCGGAGCTGGGGCTTTCCCCAACGAGAGGCAAGTCGCGATCGTCAGACTGAAAGTCGAGTTTAAAGATCTCGAGATTGGCGGAAGAGCTAAAGGAGAGATCGACGGCTCCGGCCATGGTTCCGGCGGCCATGTAAGGAGCGTCGGGAGAGAGGGCGACGGAGGCGGATCTGCCCACCCCCTTGATGCAAGCCATAACGGAGGAGGAGGAAGGGGATCAATCAATCGGAGAGTGGATTTTAGGGTGTGAAGTTGAATTGTAAATTGGGATCTGAAGAAGAAGAATAAGGAGGGGGAGGAGTTACCATTACAGATTAGAATGAAACATCTCATCTGGGAGAAAGTTAGAGCAAAACTTGCAAGGGTGAAATCGTAATCTTACCCTCATAAGAGTAAGGGCAGTCTCGGATACTCGCCTAAGGTTCTGAGAGCCATTCTAAACACGACACGTCGCTCACCTTTCAGGCCTAAGACCCATATAGTTTGGGCCCAGGAAAGTTTGAATCGCAATAATTGGGCCCAATGAGGTGTTTCCTTTCATTTTGTGATCATCAAAAACCAGTCAAAGAGTGTAGTGTATGTGTATGTATATTTTTCCTTAAAAAACAAAAAAAGAGGGAGGTCAATGCCAATGGAGATTGTTAAAATAACTGTAAAGAGGAATGTGCTGAAACACCGGATCTGGCCAGTGGGGCTCGTACACGAAAATCCCATGTGTCCGCTCGTAATATCATTGTCTTACATTTCTCAGTTCCAAATTTATTTTATACATTCCTAATTTCCTATCCCGTAGAGTCCAGGGTTTTCTTTATTACTTGGAAAAGAATATATATATATCCAACAACAAATAGTTGTAAAAAATAAATAAATAGACACAAAATAATTCCAATCCTTTGATTCATAAAACCATCTCTAAAACCCTAGGGGTACGTACGGTGGATCATGGATGAATGTAGTAGGTAATGGTTTTAACTTGTAAACGGTGCTTTGGTTTGCAGTTAATAAAATCAAGATGTATTCAGAGAAACAACGATAGATAAGAAGATGTCTAGCTGGCTTCGACATAGCCAACTCCAACCAGTCGGCAACAAATCCTTCTCATGAGACTTTTTTCTCTCTGTCTCTCTCTTTTGCCAACTTCTAATAAGTGCCACAATTCAATCCAGTCTTTGATCTCTTTTCGTTATCATTTTTGTTTCTCTCCATCTGATTTATTAACGTCTTGTATCTGAGTTTTCATATACTTTATAATATATATATATATATAATAAATGTTATCTATTTTTTGCTTTCTTTAAACCAATAGAGAGCAGGGAATAATAAAGTGTGAATATCAGGATTGCAGCATTGAGTCATGTCACATGGCATAACATGATCGCTCAGAGTCGTTGACATCTTCTTCTCGGCATCTTTTTCTTTTCTTTTTTTTTTTTTTTTGTTCGTCATGCATTTTCTTGTTAACTTATATTATTTGAAAGAAAATAAGAAGATGGAGAAACAATCATTGACAACCAATAGTTGATTAAAGGCCTAAATACAGTACAATATTATCGACGAAGATTAGTAATTTTATAAGCAAGTAAAATTATTTCCAAATCCATATCTTTTGATAAATCTGTAACGAAATCTTTTATTGCATACATGCAGTGATGGAAACATATTTTAAATTGACGTCCCAAATTTAAAAATATTATTTTTTGTTATTCATAAACTAATTATTAATCGGAAAAAAATAAAATAAAAAAGAGAGAGAAGAACAATCATTCGTATAGTAAGAGAGAGGTTTTGACCCAAAAAAAAAAAAAAAAAACGAAGAAGTTGTTTAAAGAAGCAAACCCAAACTCCCATCCCACATACTCGTTGTCTTATTTAACTGTCTCTTCTTTGAAACCCACCAAAGCTTTCTCTTTCTCTTTCTCTTTCTCTTTCTCTCAAGACATAAAATACGAGAATGAGGATAGGACAGCGCTACTCTGTAATCGTATCGGTGTTGGTGTTACTGTGGATGTCGTCTCAAATCGAATGCAGCAGCCAAGTGCACGCCCTGAGCCGCCTGTACCTGTCGAAGCGAGGGGTTGGTTCGTCCACCATGGATACAAGCCATTTCAAGGCGGTCAAGCATTTGAAACCGTCTTCCATGCAGAGTGTTGCGGATCACGAGGAGTTAAGAAAGAGAGATCTGATACGGAGATTGCCCGGACAGCCTCCCGTTGATTTCGATCAGTACGGCGGCTATGTCACTGTCAATGAATCCGCGGGGCGTTCCTTTTTCTACTATTTCGTGGAAGCCTCCAAGTCTAAGGATTCTTCTCCTCTGCTTCTATGGCTCAACGGCGGTAAGTTAGATTCATCGTCCACACATTTCATCTATTGTATCTTCTTAGTTAATTTGCATCTTGGAGTTATTTATAAATACGCTATATATGTGTATAATGTATTTATGTACATAACATAGCAAAAAAAAAAAAGAGAAAAGAAAGACGAACAAGCATGTTAGTTAGTTTGATCGAGACTCGAGAGGCTGTCTTTTTTTCTTCTTTCTGTATTTTTATTAATCTATCATATGTTTCAGAATATAGAGAGGAAACCAAACCATATATGCCTAAGCCTGTTTCTTCCCTCTTTGTTTTTATGTTTTTTTAAAATTATTGTCACACGCCAATAGTCTTTTGTATAAAGAAGATACATCCCCAATTGAAAATGAAAACTGAGAACGGAAAAAGAAAATTGATTTGCCTTTCTCGATGGATTTAAATAATGGCACATGCTGAGGATTTCTCGGCGTGCTTTGTTGCACAGCTCTCTCTCTCTCTCTCTCTACTTGTGAATTATTTAGCTACTACCACTACGTATACGTATCTAATTATATATATAGATACTGAATTGTTCCCATGTACTCTAGTACCTTTTATTCTTAATACTTTTATTTTTCTTAATACAGCTTACATCTTTTATATTCGTTCATCGATTAATTAGCTCTGTCAACAAAATCGAGGATTTAATTACAGAAATATGACTAATGTGCGTTGGAAATAAAAATGAAATAAACAGGACCAGGATGCTCGTCACTGGCGTATGGAGCATTACAAGAGCTTGGGCCGTTCAGAGTGCACAGCGACGGCAAAACGCTTTTTAGAAACCGATATGCATGGAACAATGGTACCTTTTTCTCTCCTTTGTTGTTATTTCTAAAATATTACGCTTATGGTTGTGGTTAAGGAATAAGGACTAATCAAACTGTTTGTGGTGCAGCTGCGAACGTGTTGTTCTTAGAATCGCCGGCGGGAGTGGGGTTCTCGTACACTAACACAACGTCGGACATGGAGAAGCACGGGGACAGGAATACGGCGGCTGATAACTACATCTTCCTGGTGAAGTGGCTGGAGAGATTCCCTGAGTACAAAGACAGGGACTTGTACATCGCCGGTGAGAGCTATGCCGGCCACTATGTTCCACAGCTTGCCCATACTATCCTTCTCCATCACCAAAGCTTCCTCGATCTCAAGGGCATTCTCATAGGAAATGCGGTGATCAACGACGAGACCGACTTGATGGGTATGTACGACTTTTTTGAGAGTCACGCTTTGATCTCCGAAGATTCTTTGGCCAGCCTCAAGAACAACTGCGATCTCAAGACTGAGTCTGCGAGTGTAATGACTGAGGAGTGCGCGGTGGTGTCAGACCAAATCGACATGGACACATATTACCTGGACATCTACAACATATACGCTCCCTTGTGCCTCAACTCCACGCTCACCCGCAGGCCCAAGCGAGGAACCACCATAAGGGAGTTTGATCCGTGCAGTGACCATTATGTGCAGGCCTACCTGAACAGACCGGAAGTCCAAGCGGCACTGCACGCAAACGCTACAAAGCTGCCTTACGAGTGGCAGCCGTGCAGCAGTGTGATAAAGAAGTGGAACGACAGTCCTACCACAGTGATTCCTCTTATTAAGGGGCTGATGGGTCGGGGTGTCCGCGTCTGGGTGTTCAGCGGAGACACGGATGGGAGAATCCCGGTGACGTCCACCAAATACTCCCTCAAGAAGATGAATTTAACGGCCAAAACGGCCTGGCATCCATGGTACATAGGAGGCGAGGTGGGTGGATACACAGAGGAGTACAAAGGGAAGTTGACATTCGCCACCGTCAGAGGGGCTGGTCATCAAGTTCCCAGCTTCCAGCCAAAACGCTCTCTTTCACTCTTCATTCATTTCCTCAATGACACTCCTCTCCCTGACACCTCTCGTTACTGAATATTCTATCTGAGATTGTAATTTCTCTCTTAATTAGCTTTTATGCCTCTCCCATCAATTCTTTATCAACTATTCATAACTTTGAATGTTAATACCTGTTTTGGTCTCACAACCTAAAAAGAGCAACTTATCTCTGTACTATCTACTTGTCCACATCTTCTACATTACCAAGATAGTATATGACTATATTCATATAATCATCTCTAGGACGTAAAGAAAGATGCATACCAAGAACTGATGAACCTTGACATCTTTCCAACCGGACCAGGTTCCTGATTACGCAACGCTTGTTCCTGAATACCCTTATTTTCTGTTTCTAACTGCAAAGAGAAAACAAGAGACAGCTTGCATCATCGACCACACCCACCCTTAACTCTCTAATTATATATACACTATTATGTAAATGAACCCCTTCAAACACTCTACTTTACCTTTTGGACTTTCAGTTGGAGTTCTTCAATGGCCTGCTGTAAGGATTGTATAGTTTTCGACACAATATCTTCATATGCTGATTCCACATCTTCCACAGAATCTAGGCTTGAAATGATTCCTTCATGTATGAACACTTCTTCTAGCATTTTGATGTCTTCGTTGCTAATTCTCTCTTTCATCTGTATACAGTGACAATAATACATCTGTTATCTTCTAGATCCCGTTTTCTGAATATTGGACAGAGTGAGGAAATGGCTGCTGCAGAATCCTAACCTTCTCAAGGATCCTCCCACATTTTTCATCTTTGGTTGCCGAGGAAGGTTCCTCCTGTGACTTCGCAAATTTTACTTCACTGGCACGTGGTGATGCTTTTATGTGCTTTGCCCTGTACAGTAATTCGAAGCAAACATCTGTCTTGAACACGTTCAATAATGTAATACATGCTACATGAAAATGTTACCGGCCATCTAGTGTTACACTGAGATGCATACCTCATGCCAAACCTGAGGGTTGAGAGCGTCTCAGATGCATTCGAAGTGCTAGGTGAGCAACAGCAAAGCAGTGCCATTCGAGAATTCCCACCCTGTGGCATGAGAAACCACTATCGAATTGAGAACAAGCTGGAAGACTATAACATAAAATCAATCTGAGAAGAGATACTAACCAGCGCATCCTGTAGGACGCGAGTAAGCTTGGAGTCACGATATGGTATGTGACTCGCTTTGCTAGGTGACCCACTAGTGAGAGCGTTTATCACGTTCCCCAAGGCTGAGAGTGATTTGTTGATCGTCTTTGCTTCTTCAAGGACCCTACCTTCTGCTCCAGTTTTGTCTGCCTTCTCTGAGCCAGCCAGGTCGACAAGAATCAATTTTCCTGTTTTTACCCTGTTCACATGCCAAAAATGTATAAGCTCCACCACTAGAGCACCCCCATTTTATGATTAATTGTGAGAAAACTGTGCCTCTTATCTTTAACTGAATCCTGCTGGATTGTTAAGAAGTAGGCGCAGTGGCTTCTACTGCTGGACATATTCATTTCTGTCATTCATTGTTAAACTGGAAACATTCTTCAAGATGAGTCTCAATCAGTTTTAACTTTTCAGTTAACTCAGAGTAGCATACTCTCAATTTCACTATCCATTAAATGTGGAAACACTGAACAAGCAAGTGCTGATAAGCTAAGAGGATACGGGTTTCCCCAACAGCGCGATTAGCTAAACCGGTCTGAAATGGCAATTGGCATCAGAATTAAGAAAAAAGAAGGTAGTATTAGGTAATTAGGAAACCCAGGGTAGCTGCTATCTTACGCATAGATGTTGTAATGCCTCTGCGGAATCTGATACAGGTACCTGAAGCACGAATAATTAAAACTTTCCCTACGCTGTAAAGTTTATTTTTTCTCAACACTAACAGAAGAGATAAGGCAATGAAGCTAGCCTCTGTAACGCCAGACAACAGTATTCCTTGTGTTTTAGTCTCCTTGATCTGTATGTTTCCTTTTGATAAGTCTAAGAGGTCCCTGAGAGAGTTAGAGATAAATTCATTAATCGATAAGCTAGGCTATAAGCTAGAAGAAATCAGAGAGAATTATAGGCGTACACATTACCTAACTTTCTCCATGTAGATCTCAACCTACAGGAGACAAAGACACTTAAGATATTTATACATGAGGGAATGTAAGGAGGGTAATAGCAACTGCATTTAGATCACTACCATAGACAATTTAACTGTGTATCTTGCAATATCTTGAAGAGAGCTGATTTGAGCAAACATCCCATCGACCACTCTTTGAAGCAATCCTTTATTGTGCTCATCACAGTCCTGGATGCCTGGTCCCTGAATCAATAGAATAACACCAAGTTTAATAAGAAGGAAAGGTCCTTGTGCTACAGGCACAGCTCATATAGATATCAAAATAATTTAGGTGACCTCCATGGAATATGTCTTCCCAGCCCCTGTCTGCATAGTAAGAAAATAACAAGATCAAATCTGAGATCTGCCAAAACTTATATAAACAAAAAAAGACAATGAAAGCATTCCACGTAGGGAAAGAGATCACCAGAACAAACCTGTCCATAAGTGATGATTGTTCCGTTGATAGCATTCACAGCGTCTGAAAGTAGATATATACTACAAAGGTAAGATGCAGAAGACGAAAGGTAGGAAGACCAAAGAAAGCAACATATTAAAATCACAATGGTGTTAATTGCTTAGATCTAAAAATCCCTAACAAGCAGCAGCGGTGGCACATAAATAATTTTCTATAAGATATAGGAGTAGAAGAAGAATACCTCTCATGATCGGTAGAGCCAGAAACTCATAAACCGCAGCTTGGGGAGACTCCTCATAAAAAACTCTATCGAGGCTGAATGTTAATTCGTCTTCCTTGTCATCCTACACGCAAGAAAATTGAAGAAAAAACCAAAATAAGCAGTGAAAGATTCAATGTGGCTAGAGTTTGAGACAAAAATAACATGAATCAACCACATGGAGTCCCAGTACTAACTTGGAAAACGAAGGTTTCAGCGTCGATGCCTCGAACACAGACACCGTCGTTGTGATCGCGAAACTCTTTAGAGCTTCGTGGCCTAAATCGCGCACAGACTGTAACGTTAGACATCGCTCCTTACCAATCTATAGTAGAAACACCTAAAAAAGAATCAGCAAGCAGAGACGGCGGCGATGAGCAGGGAAGAAGAGCAAAGGAAATTTGAAAGCGGAATTTGAATCAAGTTAGTTACCTCTCAAAAGGAGAGGGGGCTTTCTTCGACTGGGCGGGAAAAAAAGAAACTCGAAATTTCTGATTTGGGATCGCAAAAAGAGGACGATGAAGAAGAAGAAGAAGAAGGAGAAGGTGAAGAAGAGGACACGCGTGTGGTTGTAAAAAGATCGAATGGTTTAAAACAAGACAGGTGTCAATTAGGAGCACGGTAGTGAAGGTGCACCATCACGCAGAATATAATATCTAAGAGAAAGAGAGAGAGAGAGAGAAAAGGGAAGGTGTTGTTATCCCCTTTGGGCGTAGAGTGGATTAGGCATTCATACTCTCACTGCTTTCTTCTTCTTCTTCTTCTTCTTTCCTACAGAGAGAGAGAGAGAGAGCTCTAACAATGGCTACTTGCGCCACTCACTCGTCTCTCATGCTAGCATACGCCGCCGCATCCACTCGTTCTCAGGACCTTACCCCTACTCCATCTCTTTTCTCTTTTGCCAGCCCCAGACCCAACAACTTAAGCGTCCCGCTTCTTCTCCTCGGGGGTTCCAGGGAGAGAAGATGTGCTGCTATTGAGAGAGCTTCTAATCGATATTTCCAGGTCGTTGTCTCCGCCGTGGCCGCAGAGGCTGACCTCGACACGGAGGAGGACGCGGAGCAGACCGCCACCGCCACCGCCGTCCTTGACCCGCCCAAGCCTAAGAAAGGAAAAGCAGCTTTGGTTCTTAAGAGAGATAGAGTATGCTTTGCTTTCGCTTTTTATCCCCTTTGTATTTAATTTTTAAATTATTGTTCTAATGTTTTTCATATCTCTTCCTTTGCTAACCCTTTGACAGACAAGGTCTAAGAGGTTTTTGGAAATCCAAAAGCTGAGGGAAACCAAAAAGGAGTATGACGTGACGGCTGCTATATCTTTGCTTAAGCAAACCGCCAACACAAGGTTCGTGGAGTCGGTTGAAGCCCATTTCCGTCTCAACATCGATCCAAAGTACAACGATCAGCAGCTGCGTGCAACGGTCAGCTTTGGCTTTTCTCAATACTCACCCTGTGCTTCATTCGCATTCAATCTCTCAATGCTTCTTTTTTTTTTTTTCCTATAGGTGAGCCTGCCTAAGGGAACTGGCCAGACTGTTATAGTGGCTGTTCTTGCACAAGGTAATTGCCAATGTCTATTGTATGTTTTCAGTCATTGTTTCTGGGATTTTGCTATGATTTCACATAGTGCTTCTGTAGATAAATTGGTGTGATTTACTCTTTTTTATATCTTTGATTGAATGGGAGTTCTTGTGTATTTCGAAATCATGTGGTTTAAATTCTTCTTTAAATCTTTGGCTTGCACCATTTCCATGCTCATCATCCAGGTGAGAAGGTCGATGAAGCCAAAAATGCAGGGGCAGATATTGTGGGCAGTGATGATCTAATCGAACAAATTAAAGGTGGTTTCATGGAGTTTGACAAGTTGATTGCATCCCCAGATATGATGGTCAAGGTGTGTGTTTTCCACTCATTTGGCCTGTTTGAACAGATAAGGCTTTAGTTGTTCGAGTATACAAAACTCCCTGCTTGGCCAAAAATGTGTTGTGACATGCTATAGTTGTAATCTATTCCTAACATTCTTGAACTTGGCGGTTAGGTTGCTGGCTTGGGAAAGATTCTTGGCCCTAGGGGACTCATGCCAAACCCCAAGGCTGGTACGGTCACAGCCAACATTCCCCAGGTAAGCCTTCTCTTTCCACATCTTTTTCCTGATTCTGGTAATCATGGCTTAAAGATGCATACATCTCTCAGGCTATAGAAGAGTTCAAGAAGGGTAAAGTAGAATTCAGAGCAGATAAAACTGGGATTGTTCACATCCCCTTTGGGAAAGTTAATTTTACAGAGGAAGACCTACTCATTAACTTCCTTGCAGCAGTGGTACGCTGATTGTCCATTCTCATTACATGTATATCTGTTGTTTGTATTACAGAAATGAAGATGAAAAAGTAAATGATGAATGCAGAAATCAGTGGAGACAAACAAGCCAAAGGGAGCAAAAGGAGTTTACTGGAAAAGCGCGCACATATGCTCGTCAATGGGGCCATCCATCAAGTTGAACATAAGGGAGATGATAGACTTCAAACCTCCAGCTGCCAACTAACCAGCAACCACATTTGTGTAAATTGGGAACTTTGGGGAGATAGGCAATGCTGAGTGTTGACGAGAGGAGTCTAGTCTGTTAGTTATCTTTCACACCTCGCTGGTTTGTATTAATATGATGGCCATTTGCTTCTCGTCGTTATATATATACTTTTGCTATAATGCTATTGAAACAAATGGCAAGGGCTATACATGTCGGACTCAAAACTCTTTAATGCTCTCTAAAAGAAGACCTTACACTTATCTTAAGAGATACATACGGGGAGAGTTTTGTGTACATTACATATGATTACTACTACAACTATTACAAGGCCAAACTCTGCTTTGTCACTTCCATTTTGGTGAGAAGCCCTCTCATCTCTTCCTCCATTCTCATCTTCATTTCATAAAACTCTCTCTGCCCTCTCTCTATTGCATCCAACTCCTCCTGTCTACTCCTCCTTCTCTCTTCTGCCTCCTCCATGCTCAACTTCCCTATTCTCATCTTGTACTCTTCCTCTATCTTCTCCTTCTTCGCTATTGCTATTCGTTTCAGCCCCTCTGCTTCTCTTCTTGCATCATCTGCCCGTCCTTGGAACATCCCTGCCTCTGCTTGCTTCATTCTCACGATGCTCTCCAGTTCTTCAAAATGAGGTTCCTTTGCCGATCCCCTTTTCAAACCAATCTCCACTCCACATATTTCAGCTAGTCTCTCTCTGTGGAACGTATCAACTACGCTCACAGACCTTTTCAGCTGATGATGAGGTTTATCTGAGCAAACCGATCTCAGCCATGCAGTGTCCTGACTATAGATTCCCCTCTCATGCCTGGGTTTTGGCTGTTCGTATCTGAACGGGGCAGAAGTTTCACCAGGGGTGGATGAATCATAGTCTGCAGTCACCAAGCAAAGAATTACTGACGATGATCAGCAATTACCATTTTTACAAGGAATATCTATGGCGCTGGTATCACAAGATATTAAACCAATATGTGTTCACATCGTGTGATCATCTAAACTAAGGCAGATAGATAAATCATAAACCCATCATATTAAACTCACAATTAAAACAGTTTCACGCACCTGAAATGAAACCCAATATCTGATTGCAAGCTTCAGGAAGGCCTATCGATTTACTTTTCAAACTTTCCAGCATCGCATCAGCAGCTTGTCTCAACTGTTTTCCTCTAGAGTCTTTGCTTGATGAAAATATCTTGTTGACATACTCAAGTTCCTTGCAAAAGCGGTCAAATTTCCATTCCCTGGCAAAATTTAGAAACACTTCTTTGACAAAGCCAAACATCTCCGAGGGATGGTTACAGGCTACGCAGTGGAACTGCATCTCGGTAATTCCTGGAGCACCAGAAGCTTGGATCCCATTCCGTATGTAAGATTCTCTTATCCCACAATCTGTGTGGCACCAGTGAAGACAAACATCACACCCAACCCAGCTACAGGTGTTGGATGCCATATCAAAATTTGAGCACAGAAGACACATACAAGCACTACAAAATCCATCCTTCCTTGAACAAACCTTGCAATCGCATTCATCCACAGGCACCAAAACCCTGCAAGAAAGATTTTTGCATCTCATGTTCATGTAAATCTCAGCTAAATGAGGAGACGAGATGCTGTTGTCTAACTTAAGGAAATCTAAGCGCCCAGTTTTTAGTGAGACCAAGATCTCCAACTGAGCACGATGAGATTTTGTAAGCAATTCAAGAGTTATATCAGTCCTGTTCTGCAGAGCATCTTGAAAAGCACCAAGTTGTACATTCTTATCCATGTTCAGCATCATCTGCCGGATGTTTTCCTTCAAGCTACTTATGTATCGACTGGGCATCTCATGAAATCTCTTGGTCATCAGATGCATCGAATCGGAGAGAATGTATCTAATGACCGTCTCAACAAAATCATGCCCACCAGATTCCATTCCATTTATCCAGGAATTGCTACCACTGAAAAAGTCCTTGGCTTTTTTCTTCTCAACAAACTTTGAGCCATTTTCAAGAGAGCTGGTTCTTGGACAAGCTGATCTAACATCAACACTTTTCTGGAAACTCAATTGTTTCTCAAGTCTATTCTCTGCCTTGGAGCTCCCATCAGCCAATCTAAGATGCCCTTCATCAGCTTCACCAGAAATTAAAATGCCTTTCATTGCTTGAGGTTGAACTGAACCATTTCCATTTTCCATCAGTCTTTGATAGACTATATTCTCGTTGTACTTTGGATCATTATGAGAAAGTGCCTGCCAATCGATACCCTGAAATATAGGTCGGCTATGAACTGACTGCTCATTATCTCCAATATTGTGATTTAGTGAACAGCTTGGATTATGATTAAATGAGCGGGAACCTGAAAAGGACATAGACATGGTGAAGCCATCAGAATTGGTACAAAACGTGTCTGTCAAAGACCGAACACTTTCAGAACGGACTGGTGACCCCAGAGGCTGATTAGTATCCTGGCCACCAATTGGCAACAAAACATCTGGTAGGCTAAGTGACAGATCCAGTGGCTCCAACAACAATTTCTCATCCTTGGGCTTATTAACACTTGACTGGTCAGTTTTATTTTTTCTTAGAGCAGGAGAACTAGAGAACAGTTCAAATCCTCTAATACTAGGTCCTCCGAAGTTGTCATCTTTTTCATCTTTATCCCTTTCGGAAATATCCTCAGGCTTTCTTTCAGAAAATAGTGCGTTCCCATGTAAATGAGTAAGTGGGACATCAGAATGTTTGCTGTTATCCGAGTGTTTGTGGACCGAGCAATCCGATACAATGGTAATGTATTCTGCAGGCGTTCTAATCCCTAGAGCATTTTCCTCAACACATTCATGGCCTGCTTCAGTTTCCGCTTTGTTTGTATCACCATCAATACCTTGAACTCCCTTAAACTCTTCTAGCTGAAACTGCTCAGGGACATCTGGATAAAGACTTTCTTCCAACTTCACTTCATGGTTCTCCTTGTAGTCTTCATTGTTATTATCGACCATATCTGTAATCTTAGTGACACTAGCAATGGCTGTGTCATCTCTACGCTCATGTTCACTAGCTGAAGTTGTAGAATTATCATTCATGTTGTTTTGATTAACATGCATGGTCTCACTGGCATGCTCAAGCACATTTTCCCCTTCCTCAACAGTTTTCTTATCCGCCATGCTCTCAGCTGTTTCCATATCCCTATCACCACCCACATGACTGAGTTCTTGGTTACTTACAGTTTCGGCATCAAATTCAGCGTTTTTTTCCAACTCCAATACGTCAATCCTTGCGTCCTTATGATCAGCAGCAGCGCAGGAGGAAGGTTTCTCAGCGTCATCTTTGGTTTGATGAGAAAGCCCGGAGGCGGTCTCTGGTTGAGGGTCAGGCTCCAGCTCCCCTTCCTCCATCTCGCTACTGGTTGTACTGATCTGACGCTGCACTTCATCCTCGCTTTTCTTGCCAACATTTCCAACACTTTTGGATTGCTCGCTCCCAGAATCTTTGGACCATGTAGGAGAAGCTAGAGATTTGGATCTGGAGCGGGAATTTCTGGAATCGAGTAGCTTCAATTTGGGTTGATCGTCTCTATCCCTTTCAGAGTCTCTTAATCTCCTATCTCGGTCTTCGACGCCAAAGTCATTACCAGGACCACTAAATCTCCTCCAGGAGGAGACACTATCTTCCCTTTTGGGCCTCTCCCTCTCAGAACGAAATCCTTTTGGAAAAGCCCTCCTTGAGAAACAAGCGCTCTCAGATCGATGGAACCGGGCATCCGGGTCGTTCTTTCGATGATTATCAAAGTCACGGTTGGATCGCCTACGGGAAAACCCCCTCGAGAAGCCGGCATCTCCCCCGCGTTCACGGTCACGGTCGCGAGAGAAGGACTTGTGGAAGAAGTCCCGATGGGGCCGGTCCGAGTTGAGAGGTTCTCCGCCAGCATTCTTATCACTACAGGAATCAACGTCGTCGCTGGATCTTAGTCTCTTCATCTTTTCTTTTTTAGTTGCTGTGCGGGATTAAAAATAAAAGGCTTAGGGTTTTTGAGGATCGGAAAATTAAGTGGTAATCGGAGAAAGCGTACAGGAGGAGAAAGGAAAAAGCGAGTACCTGAAGATTGGGGCAAGATTCATGTCCGAAGAGCCCTAACTTGCAGATTCAGCTGCCATTTTTTTTTTTTTTTTTTAAGTATTAACAGAGGATGGATGGGAATCACGCAACGAGGAAGACGAAAGAAAAGGAATATTGCAAGTCAAACTGAGTGGGAAAAGCACCATCTCACTTCACCCTTCCTTTACTGAGTTATTTACATCATCTGCCACCTTCCCCTGACCAGAGAACGTGGGCGTTTACGTCATTTTCGTTGCTATCCAATCTTTGACTCTTATCGCGTGTGCGTGTCGTCGTTTCCCACAACTTAAAATCATTGGAGACAGTTAGTTTGGTACTGCTGGGCTCTATAAGTGGGTCTTTCTACGGCCCATCACAACTACTCTTTTTAAAACAACACAATACATATCGTTCCAAGTTCTGTTTCTAACGTATCTTCATCTTCTTCTCATCCAAATGTGGTGCCTACCATCTGTTCGACCAAATGTGTCAGAGATGTTCTTCAAGTCTTCTTCCCTTCCGATACTCAAACCAACTGCTAGATTCTCCACGGCTTCCTCTCCCTATCTTCCTCCTTACTTCAGGTTTTTTCCTTTTGCTCTCTCGAACTCAGCTTTCCCACTAAATTATTTTGATTTCGGTCCTCACTAGTGCTTCGCTCCAGCGTCGCCCCAATGATGGATTGGACCGATAATCATTACCGGACGCTTGCTCGCCTCATATCAAAACACGCTTGGCTTTATACCGAAATGATTGCCGCTGAAACTCTTGTTCACCAGCAGACCAATCTGGTAGTATTTCTTTTCTTATTCTGTTTTTATTTGTATCAGCGGTATGCCCTTTCGCTAGACATGTCCCTTCGTCTTCACTTTGCCTCAGGACAGGTTCCTAGCATTTTCTCCCCAACAACATCCTATTGTTCTCCAACTCGGTGGTAGCAATGTCGAAAACCTTGCAAAGGCTGCTAAGCTTTCTGATGCGTACGGATACGACGAAATCAATCTCAAGTTTGTACTCTTTCTCTTCGCCTACTTCACTATTGTGCTTGGAATTTCAAACTTAACTGTGTTCGTTCTGTTGAGATAGCTGCGGGTGCCCCAGTCCTAAGGTTGCCGGCCATGGTTGCTTTGGTGTTAGCCTTATGCTCAAACCCAAGGTCCGTTACTTCTCATGATTTCAAAAAAAAAAAAAAAAAAACTGCTTTTTTCTTTTCTTATGGTGCTCCCTCCCACGCTTTCTTTGTAAGCTTGTTGGAGAGGCAATGTCTGCTATTGCTGCCAATACCAGTGTCCCTGTTACTGTGAAATGTCGAATTGGTGTAGATGATCATGATTCGTATGATGAGCTCTGTGAGTTTTTTACTTCCAAGTGCGTTCTATTTTAAATCTCGTTTGAACTGGGCCTAGATTGTACTAATACACCTTTTTCTTTACTCTTAGGTGACTTTGTCTACAAGGTTTCTACTCTATCACCGACCAGGCATTTTATTATTCATTCACGCAAGGCACTGCTCGGTGGGATAAGTCCTGCTGATAACCGGAGAATCCCTCCTCTTAAGTATGTTTACCATAACTTGCCTCTTGATTACCTGTAATTGTGTATAGTCTATTGTTTTCTTCAAGTCACCTGCTTTTGAGCGTAGTTCAGGTATGAGTACTACTATGCCCTTGTGCGTGACTTCCCGGACTTGGGATTCACAATTAATGGAGGCATTACTTCTGTTTCGAAGGTGACCCTAGTGTAATCTTGGATACGAGAGCATAGCTTTCTTCTTTCCGACCAGGGTAAGGCTGAGTAAAATCTTGTGATTGTAAGGTAAACGCTGCGCTGAAGGAAGGAGCTCATGGAGTCATGGTCGGACGTGCTGCATACAACAAGTATGTGAAATTTAGCTCGATTGGTCTGAGCTCTATATCATATTTTTTTCTTGATTCTCCATCCATTCTTGACAGCCCTTGGCAGATGCTAGGACCTGTTGACACTGCAGTTTATGGTGTACCAAGTAGTGGCCTTACTCGCAGACAGGTGCTGTGGAAATATTCAGCTTTTGAGTTGGTTTGTCTGTCAAGCTTGTCGAGAAGCTAACTAAATGTTTTTGGGCAGGTTCTTGAGCAATATCAAGTATACGGGGACTCTGTGTTAGGAACACATGGAAACGGGAGGCCTAACGTGAGGGATTTAGTGAAGGTACTTGAGGTTTAAACAAGAAAGCGGTATGGGTTGTGAAAAAAATACAAGTCTTGTATGATAACTGAAGATGTTTCAATTGATTGCAGCCTTTGCTAAACCTTTTCCACTCAGAAACTGGAAATAGCATGTGGAAGCGGAGAGCAGACGCAGCTTTCAAGGAGTGCAGGGTGTGTGACTTGATATTCGTGATAACATATGTTATAATGTTTGTAATTGGTGGTAAGTGTTGAAGTGTATATTGCAGAGTGTTGGATCGTTACTGGAGGAAAGCCTGATGGCGATCCCAGACAGCGTCTTAGATTCCCCCATATCTGGGACTCGAGAGAGTGTAGAAGAAGATGTCTTTGCAAATGTGCATAATGTATTGCCACCGCGCTACGAAGCTGGAGAACAAATCATCTTATGTGCTTAGTTGTTGTAATCTGTCTGTTGGCGATCTATTAAAATTGAATCTACAAGAATATGTATGTATGATCAGCGATTACTTTTTGGTCGCCGGTGAAGACTTACAGTTGAAGAGTGGGTTGTGTTTAAGTTGGTACTGGACTGCGTATATAAATAATATGGGCTTTTCTGTTGCTTTTGTGTTGGGCCGGAACTCATATGGAGCAAAGAGGACTACGTATATCCCAGAAAAAGAAAGATATTACGAAAAGAAGATTCCGTTGCGACGTGGCAGCGTTTCCGCCAAAGGACGGAGGCGCTCATAAATCATATAATCCAATCCATCTTCTTCTCTCCCTCTTTGCAGCAATCAATCATGGCGGAGAAGCTCAGTGATGGGAGCAGCATCGCCTCCGTCAATCCCCAACCCTCCAAGGGTTTCTCTTCTAAGCTCGTCGATCTTCTCGAGAGACTTGTCGTCAAGCTCATGCACGATGCTTCTCTCCCTCTCCACTACCTCTCCGGCAACTTCGCTCCCGTGCGTGATGAAACTCCTCCCGTCAAGGATCTCCCCGTCCATGGATTTCTTCCCGTAAGCTCCACAACCTCCCCCTTCTTTACTCTTCTCTTCTTCTGTCCTATCCCGGGAGGTTTTATCTTCTTATATGATCGTCTCTTTGGCTTCTCAGGAATGCTTGAATGGTGAATTTGTGAGGGTTGGTCCAAATCCCAAGTTTGATCCTGTCGCTGGCTATCACTGGCACGTTCTCTATTTCCATTTTTACAGTTCCACATCCATCATCATATTCAATTATTCATGGTGGCTTCCTACTCTACTTGTCTTAATATTTTTCATATAAATGCTTCCCTCTGCTCGTTTCAGGTTTGATGGAGATGGGTACGTGAATCGTTTCGTCTTCTTGTCTCCCTGCATATCTCCTGTATACGGAGAAGAAACCTGACCTTATGTTTCATCTTATTCTTAATAATGAACATGTAAATTGGTTGCCTCTTTCTTAGATTAGATAGATAGGTGCTAGGAAGGAGCACGTGTATCAATGGAATCCTTATGGTCTTCCTCCTTTGCTGCTAAAGTTTCATAAAATCTCACTATATATGCAGGATGATACATGGGGTCCGCATCAAAGATGGGAAAGCGACTTATGTTTCTCGATATGTTAAGACATCACGTCTTCAGCAGGAGGAGTATTTCGGAGCTGCCAAATTCATGAAGGTGCGCTCCCTAGTGATTCCACACTCATATATCATGTCTTCTGCATGCTGGAATTGTGGGGGGGAAATCATTGGTTTTGTTGTATACAAATTTGCAGATTGGGGACCTTAAGGGGTTTTTCGGATTGCTTATGGTCAATATGCAACAGCTGAGAACGAAACTGAATATATTGGACAGCTCTTATGGAATTGGAACTGGTTAACTATTCTGTCTTCATCCCTACTAATTCCTTTTCTAGCATCTTAAAATCTCACTCTCTTTTTCCATGCACCAGCTAATACGGCACTTGTATATCACCATGGAAAACTTCTAGCATTACAGGAAGCAGATAAGCCATGTAAGCCACTACTACCTCTTCGTTTTTCTTTTGGGATACACTGGCCCAAAGTGAGCAAATCTGATCTATTTAGAGACCGCGTTCTGTTATGTTGGCTGTGATTCTCTTTCTCTTTACACACTTCCTTGTTTGAAATTTAGATGTATAAGAAATGCAAGGTATGAAGATTTATATTTGGTTTCTTAAAAGTCAAAACCACTCTCTTTTGGTCTCTAGATGTCGTCAAAGTTTTGGAAGATGGAGACCTGCAAACTCTTGGCATGATAGATTATGACAAGAGATTGACCCACTCCTTCACTGCTCACCCAAAAGTTGACCCGGTTACGGGTAGTCGTCACTTTTCCCTGAGAAAATACTAGTTTCTACTATTTCTTTTCACATGATGACCCGTCATGGGCTCTCTCTCTGCAGGTGAAATGTTTACATTCGGCTATTCGCATACACCACCTTTTCTCACATACAGAGTGATCTCAAAAGATGGCATTATGCATGACCCAGTCCCAATTACTATATCAGAGCCAGTCATGATGCATGATTTTGCTATTACCGAGACTTATGCAATCTTCATGGATCTTCCTATGCACTTCAGGCCAAAGGTATTATACTCTCATCAATTTTAAAGGTTACACTATACTTTTCTCGACATGATATTAGAGATTAAGAGTATAAAGAAAATTAGGTTACTTGTTTTGAATTTTCTTTGAGAATCATCGGTATTGCCTTTATCCTTCACGTGTCTCTGAGGTTGATTATTCTTCACGTGACTTTGACATTGATTCAAGGAAATGGTGAAAGAGAAGAAAATGATATATTCATTTGATTCCACAAAAAAGGCTCGTTTTGGTGTTCTTCCCCGCTATGCCAAGGATGAACTCATGATTAGATGGTTTGAGCTTCCCAACTGCTTTATATTCCACAACGGTGTGTTCTCTTTAATGTCTGTTTAAGTTTTCATATCTTCAAATTTTATTTTCTATATATACCAATCAAACTTCTGTGAATGACTTCATATATCTAGCCAATGCTTGGGAAGAAGAGGATGAAGTCGTCCTCATTACTTGTCGTCTTGAGAATCCAGATCTGGACATGGTCAGCGGAAAAGTGAAAGAAAAACTTGAAAATTTTAGCAATGAACTGTAAGAATACCTGACCTGTTACATATGTTCTGCTCTCTCGTAACCGTAACCCCTTCTCAACCCTTCTCAACTATTGCTTGTACAGGTACGAAATGAGATTCAACATGAAAACGGGCTCAGCTTCTCAGAAAAAACTGTCGGCATCTGCGGTTGATTTCCCCAGAATCAACGAGTGCTACACCGGCAAGTATGAGTTCACCCTTGTCCTTTGTGTTGATACGCATTGTGTCCCTAGCAAAAGAACTTCATCATGCCCAACGTTTTTTTTTTTGTTGATGCATTTAGGAAACAGAGATATGTATATGGAACAATTCTGGACAGTATTGCAAAGGTCACAGGAATTATCAAGTTTGATCTGCATGCAGAAGCTGAGACAGGGAAAAAAATGCTGGAAGTAGGAGGCAATATCAACGGAATATATGATCTGGGACATGGCAGATATGGTTCAGAGGCTATATATGTCCCGCGTGAGCCAGCAGAAGAAGACGACGGTTACTTGATATTCTTTGTTCATGATGAAAACACAGGGTAGTTATGGCTCTTCTGCTAGTTCATTACTTCTTTCTTTTGTGTCCTTTCTGGTATAACAATATGATGGTTGAATCATGTGTGAATGGACAGGAAATCATGTGTGAATGTGATAGATGCAAAAACAATGTCGGCTGAACCTGTGGCAGTAGTGGAGCTGCCGCATAGGGTCCCATATGGCTTCCATGCCTTGTTTGTTACAGAGGTACTAAACTCTTACACCCACATATTTCTCCGGTACAAGCGATGCATCTCTAACGACCAGGTTTGGAATTCACAGGAACAACTCCAGGAACAAACTCTTATATAACCCATGCTGTGTGCATACATGCATAATACTTGAGAGACAGATGCGTAAGTTAGGGTAAAACTGGGGGAAACTGGATAATACCATTATTACTGTTACGTACATACTATGGCTTTATGTATTCATTCTACTGCATCGTTTGCATTTCATCATGAATACATTCTACTGCCTCGTTTCTCTTTACATAAATTTACATTTCATTCTCTAATATCAACAAGGTTTCTTCTAGCTTACATTTCACCCTCTAATATCAACAAGGTTTCTTCTACCTTCCTTGTTTATTTGTCCGTTGTTCCTTATACCTCAAATCTTGTAATGAACCTATTCTACGTACTACGAGAAGGGAGATTTGAAGTAATAGCTTAGAAGACGCCAAGACGGGGACTCTTGTCTGTGCATCATCACCATATATGGAGTCAGCTTTGAATTGTCTCAGCATTTAGTATACAATACGAGAGTTAATTTAAAGCACAGACAAGCAAAAATGGAACTAGAAGAAAAATTGCATGTACAGAGAAGGACTGAACATGAGAGAGTATAGTGTGTACGTCTTCTTTAGACTATTTTTTTGGGTTTTCACTACACTAAAACAATTAATTGACGAGCCTCAATGTAAAGCGATCAATGGATGCTGGGGTCACCAAAAACCTCAGTGTTGCACACCGGGCAAACCTGCATTCCACATGCACAAAAGTTTCAGTTGAATTGAGGATGTAAACCATATATGTAAGGTCGTATGACAAATACCTTGTTGATGCTTAGCCATTTGGAAATGCATTCAGAATGATAGACGTGCTTGCACGGCAGATTCATTTGCCTCTCCCCTATCTTGTACTTGAGCTGGCATATCACGCACCTGCTCATCACACGCACACTTTTCAGAATAAACCTGCGATGGGAATTAATACCAAGATTGTTTTATTTTAAGCTTGCACTTTACCTTTCCCCTGCTCGTTTCCTGGAGAAGATGCTCCCAAACTTAAACTTTCTAGTGGGAAGCGTCTCTATGAGTTCCTGAGACAACCCCCTGCTTTCTGTTCCTACCGCTTCCCCTAGCTCTACTAATTCCTGATCCACAAACCAAACAACTTATATGTTGTCCCGCATCAACATGTGAATCCACTGCATCTCTAGACCATCTTCGTTAAATAACCCACTAGGAAAGTGAAACGAACCTCATAGGTCATTGTGTCAGGATCAATGTCATCTTGCCAGGATACCTGTGGCAACATGGCATTAACGAGCATATAGAATTCATATCAGTGTAAAGTTCACATCCTGCATGGATACACCACTAGCTTCACAAAGATGGGCAAGGGTTAACTAGTTGACACAGATTCAAAAGCCGTTTGGATCATGTGCACATACCTGCGGACTGTCGGGGTCATGCTCATTTGCAATGCCTATAAACAAAGACAACTTCTTAGCTTAGAATCGAATATGATCTGAGTAAAAAAAAAGATACATGAAAGAATTGGCAGAAATAACTAACAATCTTCAGCTTCAGAGTGCTCATCTGAGTCACCAATTTGGACAGACCTAGCCAGTGTGATATCAGGATCATCAACGTTCACCATGGGATGGTACTCCCAATTAGTTCTCCCGATGGACATCCTTGATAGATGATCGGTCATGTCATAAGAATTATAGAAAGAGGGATTATCTGATCCTGAAAATCCAAACTTGTATGCATTTGTATTCATGGTCCAGTACAGATTGTCCTGAGAATAGGCAAAAAAAAAAAGAAAAAAAGAAAAAAAAAAGTAATGAATTCGCTTCGCCCACAAGGGGAGAGACTCCCCTGAGATATATGTGTGCATACACAATGATGAAAACTTATTTCGGCCTGAGAGGGACTCGCTAGAAAAGATATGAACCAGGCCAGAAAAAACAAGACAAGGAAAGTGGAAGGAAGTACCATTGTTCCGGCATGAGCATAGTTTAGAGGCCCCTGAGGCGCACCACCATAAAAATCGATGTAACTTCCAGAAGCAGCATAAGGGAACTCCGCCTCCGTGTAGTGAGCATCTTCCACAGGTCTATCTCCATTCATTTCAGCTACTGAAGAAGAAGACTGAGATAATTGGGAGAAAAGCTTAAATAAAATACTTAATCAGAGTACGAATGGCCCTAGCAGCTAGGCAGCTGCAGACATATTATCAGGGGAACAAAACGGATATACTAGATTTGGATAAAACAATGCGAGTCCGGGTAGAGATAGATGCAGAAAGTGGTTAGGGTAAGATGTAAGCCAATAGAGAAGAGACGGAAAAAAAGCATATATTAATAAATTAAATAAAAAAGAGCATCAGGCGGCAAGGCATTGAAAGACGAGGAGGAGGAAGCAGAGATTGGGGAAGAGGAGACGTACATTCGAAGAGGGCTGGAGCGGAGAATGGCAATTGGAGGCGGCAAGGGAGAATTTATCTGCACCGCAAAACAATTTTATACCAACAAAACAAAAGACAAAGAGGGAGAGCATGAAATTGAAAAGGAAAAAAAAAAAAAAAAAAAAGAGTGAGAGAAGAAAGCGAAAGATACTTAATTGATTAGTGGAGGAAGAACGAAATGGGCAGTTTGGCAAAATTCATAGGACAGCGAAAATTAAAGGTGAAGCGGAGGGCACTGTAGACGAGAGACGGAGGAGCAAGAGAGAGTGTGTGAGAGAGAGAGAGAAAGAGAAAAAAGAGAAAGGAGACAAAACGACGTCGAAGGAAGGAAGAAGGGAGTGTGGGAAGAGAAAAAGCCGTTGAAGAAGCCGGCAAAAAGATATGTGGTTCAGTGTGGGGAGACGCACCCACCCACAGATGTCATCTCAACCCTACATCTGTCTTTTTAATCCCGTGCTCAGACCCAGAGACAAAGATTTCCTTCTTCTTCTCTCTTTCTTTCTTTCTTTCTTTCTTTTCTTTTCTTTAGTTAAGTTAATTCAAAAGAGAAAGAAAAAAAAAAGGAATGAAGGAGGAGGATTCATTCTTGATGATGGATAGATATATCATCCATATATCTATATATATAAAGTTAGCTTTTTCTCTTTTCTCATGATGTCATCTAAGCATTCACCTAAGCCACATTTTTTATATTAAAATAAATTTAAAACATTCATTTAGTGCATATTTATGCTACTTATTTAATTAATAGAAAATTTAAATAAATAAAAATAAATTATGTAAATAAATGAAATGTTAAATAAGAAATACTTTCATTTTTTATTAGTTAGTGGTAATAATATAATTCAACTTTCATTTTAAATTGATCATAGTTTAAAATTTTAAATGTGTTACTGAGTTTAAGAATGTAAGTAAATTTTAAATTTATGGTAGAATAAAATTTTTTTTATGTAATTGTATATATAAAATTTTAAAGGGGAAAAATCAAATTGAAAGTGAAATATTAGTTTATAATATTATCAAAAAGAAAATGCTTTTAATCCAAGTTTAAATATTGAAAGAAAATAATTCAAGAGACAATAACTATAATATGTTTTGAAAATCAATTAAAAAATAAATAAATATCATAATATAAATAAAAAAATTAAAAATAAATTATAAACCTCCCGCGCGTAGCACGGGTCAACTGCTAGTATATCCCTACTATAGTAAAAGAGAAGTACAAAAGTTTCTTGGGTCGGGTTTTTTTAAAAAATTAACCCGAAATTTTTCAATTGGATCTTACTAAAAATTTAAAGATATTAAATACCAATTTCCATATATATTATTTCGAAATCTACCAAATTAAACCATCAATATCGGTTTTGGAAAGTACATTAATCTTAATTTGTTTAAGGAAAAATACATTAATGTATGATTTTGTATATTGGTTTAACAAATTAACCTAAAAATCAGAAATATAAATTATATATAAAATATTTATCAAATTATCCATAATATTTCAAAACAAAATGTTCCTTAAATATCTTATATTAATATTTAGATGTATAGTTTTCTTCTATATTAACTATGATCTTCACACCAATTACGGGATAATTCATTTTCAACCATCTTTAATATATTTATTTGGCAATAGTTTCGAATTTATAGCTTGATTATAAAGCTAATCTTTTTTTCAACGCTAACCTAACTCTAAGAAAATATTATCTATATAAATAAGTTTCTGCTACCAGAAAATTGTAACATAAACACAGATTTTACATTTTAACACGATAAGAAATAAGAAATCATTGGCTCTTTATTTGTTTATTCTAGAGATTTGCAATTTTACAAAACTGCATGAAAGGTCCAAGTTAAAATCATGTATTTATGATTATACGGTGTACCGCGGGTCAATCCCTAAACTTTAAAAATGATTCATAGTATAATATTTATACATGTATATATGTCACATATTGTTCTAAAATTAACAATCCAACTAAAATCATACAATTTAAATAATTTTGAACATATTCGAAACCAACACAAAAATACAATCTAAAAATGATAGAATTTAATTAATAATCAAAATAAAGTAAAGCAAACACAAATAAATTATCCCGCAACATACAAAGGACTAAAAACTCGGTAATTTTCCCCCGCGCTGTAGCGCGGGTCCGAATCTAGTATATATTTAAAACAAAAGTACAGCTTTCGGCCTTGAGATTATCAAAAACCACAACTTGCTTGTCTGTTTTCCCACAAAAGGAAACAAACCTCTACCATTTTCCATACAGTACTACTTCTTTTTTTAATATACTATACAATACACGGTGTATAATACACATGTCTCCTCCTCTAATATGATCTCTATGGATGATATGTTTCTACTAGTATTTATTTATGGTTTACCTAGTAGTACTAGTAAACACTACAGTGTGTTTGGATCCATGGATTAATAAGAGAGAATAATAGAATACAGAGGATGGATGGAGCAACTCTTGGCATTTGGGGAAAAGTAACAATGTCCTTGCTTGTGCCTTGTGGTTTCTGTCTTGTCTAGTCTGTTGTCGTATGTAGGGGCAATTGAAACTCCTCCTATGAATACTAGTCTAAATTTAGAAGACACTTTTTACGTGTAGATGCCGGCAAAGTTGCAGACATAATATTAAAAATATAAACCAATAGCACCACCTTTGGTTTCTCTCTATGTTCAAGGCATTTGCTTGCTGCTGCTCTGTCTTCTTATTCTTAGCTTTGCTTCTATTATTATTAATCCCCCTTAATAATAGTAATAATCGAATTTGATGATACCTAAGGATGCTGATAACAAACGCTCCAATATATATTCCAATTTTCACCAAAAATACAATGATGATGATATCGAGCATTGATTAATTTCAAGAAGAAGAGACGGTCTTGAAGGAGTCGCGTAGGTGGGTTAATGTATCGTGGTCGCGGTTCCACTCGGCCGTAGGGGCGTTGACGAAATGAGCGTAGAGCTTGTTCTTAGCACAAGTGACTGTGATCAGGCTGTGCGACCCAACTCCATCGATCTCGTACAAATAGTAGACCTGCCCTGTCTCGTCCTTCCTCTCTTCCGACACCACTTTGTCGGCGCTGGCTATTAGATCCTGCAGGTCCACGTCCGACAAGGCAAGGTTGTTGAGAATCACATCCCTCGGCGCCAGCTGTCTGAACCCCGCCAGGTATGTCAGGTACTCCTTCTCTGTCCTCTTCTTTGGGTTGTAGAATTCGCTGTCTGTTCCGTTTGTCCCCTTCTCCACCTTGGACACCAGCCTCTCCTTCCACCCTTCCGGCACATCGTACACATACTCTGCAGATGCCTTCCTGTCCGAGTTCCCCCCGTACCCCCCGTAGTTCGCCGCGCTCGCTGCCGTTCCGTAGTATAATTTGTACGTTTGGTTCCCCTCCCCCATCGCCGGCAGCGCCGGAACCATTGTCAGCACGGAAGTCGCGGCCAATGCGGCGGCCAGGGAGGTTCCTACTCGCGATGCTATCGCCTTTGGAAGGATCGGCTTTCTGGTGGCGGAGGCGGAGATAACCGGAGATGCCGAGAAGATTTTCGTGGCCATTCCTTAAACTTGTTCTGTTTATTGTTATTTTGGATAACGTTTGCCATCTCATCACAGAGCCTCTCTCTTATCTGATCGCAACCCTCTGCTTGTTTCAGCGAGTTTGCTTTAAATTACAATCTCCGTATAAGCCCAAAACTATATCATATTTGCATGTACACCCCCTGGTTCCCAAATTAAGTTGGTGTCTTCTCAACCGCGAAACCCTAGACATTCATCTTTTCCCAGGAGTAGGAGGAACAGAGATTCATTCATAGTCTCTCTCGATCGCCGATGTCGAAAAGGTGCGTGCTTTCCCCATTACATGAATAAACCATCTTGTTTAATGCGTAGCAATTAAGATAATCTTATTGTGGGCTCTTATGATTTCTTCCCCTTCAAAATCCATTTAGAAATTTATCATGAATTCTCCCTCTCTGGTTTATTATTTGTAAATTTAATTTCTCCTTGTCCGTGAATAAGGGTTTCATCTTTTGTATGCTTACTCACTTAAATTTCTTGTTTATTGACGCTCTTATCTTCTTTTTTTTTTTTAGAATCCTTTGTAAATTCTTTGCTCACGGTGCATGCTTGAAAGGGGAGCACTGCGAATTTTCACATGACTGGAAGGATCCCACAAATAATGTAAGCTTAGGGGAAGGAACCAACATTCAAATTGACTTGAAATTCCTTCCGGCTGTAAATGCTCTCTAAGAGACAAAATTCCTATTACAGATTTGCACCTTCTACCAGCGAGGAATCTGCTCTTATGGAAGTCGATGCAGGTACGACCATGTCAAAGCTTCTCGTCCCCATCTATCTGCTTCTTCTTCGTCGTCTCGGTCAGCTCCTGCTTCAGCTTCAGCTTCCAGCCCTCTTGCCAGTGCTTCTCTTCCTGGCGTCTCGGATAGAGATTTGAGCCTAGTTCCCTCACCATGTTTAAAACCTACGTGGAATTTGGATTCTCTTCACCAGGATTCCGTAGAGGAGATCAGCACCTTCAACCCTGGTACAGTCAAACCAGAAGAACAACCCATTTGTTCATACGCTGCAGCTGGTGATTGCCCACGTGGAGATGAATGCCCTCACATCCATGGAAATATTTGCCCAACTTGTGGGAAATGTTGCTTGCATCCTTTCAGACCCGAGGAGAGAGAGGAGCACAAGAAAGTATGTGAAAAAAAACAGAAGCAGCTCGAAGCATTAAAACTTAGCCAGGAGATCGAGTGCTGTGTCTGTTTGGAACGTGTATTGTCTAAGCCAACTCCAGCTGAACGGAAGTTCGGGTTACTCACTGAATGTGATCATGCTTTCTGCATAGCATGTATCAGGAATTGGCGTAGCAGTTCTCCTTCCACTGGAATGGATGTCAACAGCACACTGAGGGCTTGCCCCATATGCCGCAAGTTATCATATTTTGTTGTCCCTAGTGTAATCTGGTTTTCCGCTCCTGAAGAGAAAAAAGAAATTATGGATAACTACAGGGAAAAGCTCAGGTAAGTTACATGGTGGTTTTATTGCTGTCTTTATGCTCATCATACGTGATTGGCAAGCAAAGGAAGAAAAATATATAATAAACGCTCTCTGTCTTCCAGGTCAATCGATTGTAAGCACTTCAATTTCGGGGATGGGAATTGTCCATTTGGGACAAGTTGCTTCTATAAGGTATTTTTATGCATTCAAGGTTGAAACTCCATTAAAACCAAGCATGCTCGAATGACATCAAATATGGGCAGCTGTTCTTTAATAAAATGCATTCCTTTTTAAGTTGGGGGTGTAATTGAAACCATGTTGATTGGATTAGTTCTGGTTCTTATTATCACTGCAGAGGCCAGAGCCTATGATTGAAATGAATTCAGATATGTAATTAAGTAGGCATTTGGCACTGCTGCTCAAGATTACATTGAAATCAAACTCTCATTGCTGTGTTTGCTGCCTTGATTTCATAAATGAGCATTTTCAGGTATCTGTTTGAAAGCCATTTTGAATCACCATAATTAACGCCATCTGAAACTTAAATGCATAATCGAGATAACGTCAACTATTATGCTTTGCTGTTTCTTAACTGATTTGCAATGCCTGCTGTTTTACCTTTGTATTCTCTATCTATGAGATTCTATCTATACTACTTTTACCAGATGTTCCAAATTTAAGAGATTTAAAATTTCTGCTGATAACCATATCGCTGAAGCTTTGTTTATCCAAGAGTTGGCCACTTAGAGATTTCACCTTAAACTTTATGTCTTCATATAGGAAGCGTAAGAAATTGATTAATGTAATATAGCCTCAATGGTTAGTGACGTATAATAGGCTCGAGATAGAATACTGTGATGAGTTATCTGCATTGAGGGAGGGTGGGTTTGAAGTATTTTCCACTAAGTCCTTAGAAAGCTTGATTAGTCCTTAATGGATGTTGTTGTGTTCCAGCACACTGTGAAGCCAGGGTCATATGCATGGAAATACCACAGGCCACCTCCAAGGCGTCCTTGCCCCTCTGGATCTAACTTCTCAGACGTGGATACACTTGTAAATATGATCGGGAATATAATTTCGGAAGGCGAATATGGTCCTATTGGGTTTGAAGATACAGACGATGATGAATTGACTACAACGGATATGATGATGTTATTGATGCACATGGATATAGAATCTGAGGACTCGTCCAATGAGGATATCTACTAGTTATCCCTATTATAGTTAATTAAAGTGAGAGTCTTAGGTCATATAGCTATAATATGGTTTGGGGAGGTTACAGTAGTCTTTGTAGTTTGGGTAGAATAAATTTGACTATTTTCCCCTTGGAATGTATATTTGATGGTGTTGATATGGATGCACCTCTAAAACTCAAAGAGGGGTTGTGGGTGTTGTTGCAGCATGCTTATCATGATGGTCGTTTGGAGGAAGTGGTTCTGCGACATCTGGATGCGGAAGATGGGCAGACTATGATAGCAAAAGATATAAGGTATTTGTGCCTTCAACTTGTACCACCAGTCTCTTCATTCAGTCGGTTTCAGCTTACTTTGGATGGTTATTGTCTTTATAGGTTGTCTGACTTCCTTGAGAACATGCACATATGAACTGAGGCTCTCTTGGCACAATAAGGGAGAAAGCAAAGATGTTGCTAACAACTTTTCTTTTCTCTCCCTTGGTATTTCCCATTCATTGTAACAATTTGTTTTGATTTGATTTGATTTGGAAGATTATATAGACCCCGATGCTTTATGTCTTTGTGATAATGGGTTATCAATTAATATGTATCTCTAACAATTACCAATACTGACTGCAAATCAGGGCACATGTAATATGGGGCTAAGAGTTTATCAAAAGTCATTTAGCTCGCTTCGCTATCTTTTTATTGTCACTGGATTTACCTATATCATCACCTCATTCATCGGCTTAGTTGACGTGTGCGTTCTTCTATTTGTTACATTGATTATATGCAATCCCTGTTAGCTGTTGATTTTTAGCAGAGCTTCTGTTTGCAGCAATTTCCTTATCTAAAGTACATACTATTGTCTTTACTAAAGCATTCCTGAAGCTAAGACCAAGATTTTTCTTATCGAAAATGTTCTGATTGGGATTACACCCGAACAGGACACTATTCTGTGAAGTCAGGGTATTGGGTTCTTACACAGGTTATTCAAGCCAAGAAATCATCCCAGGTAGTCACTCAGCCAAGTCTAAACCCTCTCATCTATCAAGTGTGGAAAACAGAAGCTAGTCCCAAAGTTCAGCATTTTCTGTGGAGATGTACTACAAACTGCATATCAGTGGCCGGAAACTTATCTCATCGACATTTATCAAAGGATGCCTCCTGCTCAAGATGTCCCCAGGAGGAAGAGTCCATAAACCACTTGCTGTTTCAATGTACCTACACAAGACAGGTTTGGGCTCTCTCTCCAATCCCAGTGCCTCCAAGTGGAAGTTGGGATGATTCTTTCTGTGCAAATATGTTCCATGTACTGAATATTAAGTCCCTCTATCCCCAAAGAGACTATTTGAATGCTGAAGTTCCATGGCTGTTATAGAGATTATGACTTTAAAGGGAAGGATTTTAATGCTCAGGAAACAGTAAGAAAGACCTTGGAGGATGCTGAGGAGTGGAAACAGAGAAAGGGACAAGAGGAACTGAGAAATGGTCAACATGTTCAGCGAGCACGAGAAGTTGCAAAGTGGAAAGCTCCTCCACGAGATTGGGTAAAATGCAACACTGATGGAGCTTGTAATGGAGCGGATACACATAGGGGAACAAGTTGGGTTCTTCGGGATAATAGAGGTGAGGTATTATGGATGGGAGGACACGCACTTTGAAGAGCTAACTCAGTATTAGAAGTGGAATTGGAAGCAATGAGATGGGCCGTCACTACAATGTCTTGGCTGAATTATCAGCGGATCATATTCGAATCCGATTCGTTGGCGACAGTGAATTTGTTGAACAACAATGAAAGCTGGCCAGCCTTTGCTCCAATGATCCAAGACATCAACGGTTTGCTCCCTACTTTTGAGAGTTTCAAGTTGTCTATACTCCAAGAGGATGTAACGGTGTGGCGGATCGAGTAGCGAAGGAGTTTCTTTTGAGAATTATGACCCTAAGTTGTATTCGATAATGCCAAATTGGGTTAAACAATTTTTAATCGAGGAAAAATCAAGTGTACTATGATTTGGTGAATGAAAGTTGATGTTGAGAAAAAAAAAAAAAAAAACGGTACTTCAAAACTTTGTCATCCCTCAAGGCTTGGTCAACAAAAGATAAGCAGCTACAAAATGAAGATGATAGGGGTAGTATTTCCTTCAAGATGAAATATCCAATAAAACATTGCTAACAAGTATCCATGTGTTGCCTGCATATCAATGCTTACCAACCCCTATAGCTATGTCTTTGCGTCCTCGTCTTTCTTTTGGCAACCATCCAATATATCACGCAAATATATCCTCTGTCAACAATGGTTCATCACCATTCACACAGCCTTCAGGTGCACACTCAATTTGCTCATAATTAAGTTGTCTAGACGCTTCATACACAGCAATCCCCACACTCACTGAAAGATTTAGACATCTCACATATGTTTCTACCATCGGAACACGTAGGGTCCCCCCTCCGTATGGTTTGTTTTTGCAGTCTAACAGCGCTTCAGGAGGTAGACCGCTTGTCTCGGACCCGAACAAGAGGTAATCACCTCTTCGGTAAGAGAATTCCTGCATCAAGTTATGACCCTTTTTCAGCTACCTAATTGCTAGTGATTGTTGCTTTTTCTGGTTGGTACACAAAAAGTGATGAATGAGAAAACAGGGGTCGAATGGACAGACAACTTACTGAATGTATCTTCGTTCCTCTCTTTGTGAAAGCTATCATCCGTTTTTCTCCTTCCTGAACCAAAGATAGATATAAATGTCAAGTCAGACAGCATACATATGGACTCAATCTACTGAAAACTATATTAGAGTAGTAGTAAACCTGTTGCCTGAAATATTCTTGAAAGTCATCCCATGATCTATGTGCTCTGACAACCACATAACTATGCTTCCAAGTTAAGAAGACGAACAACTAAGGAAAGGGCATTAATCTCACAGCATGTAACCTTAAATTAACAGGTGAGATGCTCAAGCAATGGACCACGACAGTTAGGATGTGCAGATATCTACACCAGTTTACTCTCTTTACTGGCATGAAACCAAAATAAATTCATATGTATAGACAAATTAGGTCGGATACGGCCAATAATCCAAACCAGCTCGCTTTACTCTGGCGTCATCGACTTGAAAACCTAATGGCTGAAGTAGGAACAGAGGAAGATTAAGTCATGAACAACTGCAAATAATGAATAAGTCGTGTTTTTTTTATAGTTGCTCCAAATGGAATATTTTTACCCCGACCAAATGCAGCCCAACAGCTGAGGCCGCACATGTTCTTGCAATGCAACCTGTATTCCCAGGAATCTGCCAAGGGGAGTACAAGTCAAAAAGATCCGGGTCTGAAGAAGTTGAACTTGTCAGAGATGCGCAAATATGAGTCAGAGAGAGAGGCCAAAGATATAATGAGTCTAACCAAATAGGGAAAACCAAAATAACAAAAGGAGAGGCAAAAGACCAGAGCAGATGGAACATGGGGGAGTAAGATATGTAGCAGTGAGAGTGCAAACCTGGGGAGAGACCAAAACTACTTGAAGAAGCTTTTTCCTCGCATCTTCCTTTACTCCTTCTCCCGCCCCTCGCGGTAGAGGATTTGCCTTGTCTGACTCGCCTACACCAATTCGGAAAGATTTCAAGTCAGACAAAAAGCGAGAGAGAGAGAGAGAGAGCTTTTATGACTAAAAAATAAAAGTGAGAGAGCGATATAGTTACACAGAGGAGAGAAAATCTTGGAAGAAAACGAGGTGATGGAGAGAGATAGTTTTCGCTTCAGATGTATTAAGCTAAGGGAGGGGAAAAGACGGCCATTTGACGGGAGATGAAACGGCCTTGAAGCTATGACGCTCAGACTGCTCCGCCCGCAACTCTCCATTCCCTCGCCTCCCTTCCCTTCTCCTCCGCACCGCAGATTCCAGGACGTCGAATCAGATATAATGAGTTGGGCCGGAAACTTTTAGGCCCATTCAGTATCCAACGACTTTCGAAACCAAGGTACCCTACGGCCCTATCCCCTTAACATTTGGATTATCCACCATCTCCGTTTCTTTCTACATGTTCTGTTTTTTTTGTTCCCCCTCGTTTTGTACTTCTGTTTGTTGAATTTAGAGTTTTGATTGCTTAGTTTATGAAATTGAGCAAAAGGATCATTCAGTAATCTCGAGAATTTGTAAAACTAGATTGGATTTAATATGGATTTGAGTGTGTGTTCAGTGTTGTGTGAATACCCTCTAATTGATTAGTTTCTTGATGGAGTAATTGATTGTGTGTCTTGATAATGTTTTGGATGTCAGTGTCATTGTTATGAACAGTTCTTAGAACTGCACGGAATATTGGGAAAGATGTAACTGAAGCTGGAACCAATCTCGTACCTATGAGCTCACTTAGTCTTGTCTTCACCTATTAAACTCTACTGTTATACTATTTTTTGGTTGAAGGTCGCCGTGCCTAGACAAGTTGCTAGAATCTCGGTGAAGATTGCAGCAATAGAGGTTTCGTCGTTTGTTGTAAAGTCGTTTCCAACCAATGGATGATCCACTTGAAGAAGCGAAGAAAATCATAGATAAGTATAAGTAATCCGTGTTTGTGGTTTGTGTCTGTTTTTGTGTTTTGTTCTGTTATGTGATCATTGTTCAATGGTCGTGTCTTGTTATGTTATGTTCTTTGATCAATGCTTGAATCAGTTCATCTCTTGATTGATCAAAGTTTAAATTGGTTCATCTGTTCTTCGATCACTGCAGATATTCATGTGGTTTCAAATAGAAGATAAGTATAGTTCTTCTTTCATTTTCAGCCTGCAGAGGAATGCAAGTGTTTGGGCTACATAAATGGCCACGGAGCAGATGAAGGTCATATGTGTGTGAAGATTCACTTGAGTCTAATTAGTCTGATGCTTCATTGTAATCACCCCTGCCCACTCCCACGCCCAATCAAATTCAACCATGGTTTGTGTTTCAGTGTAATGGTTCATCACTTCATTGTAATCGCAGCCTTCTTGTGTAGTGTCATATTGTATCCAAATCTCTGTTTGGTAATCTAGTATACATTATCATATTGTATCCTATACAACATTAAACAGCCCAAATTTTGTTCCAAACCCCATCATTGGAGAGGAAAAAAGTGAATCAAAAAATGGCTAAGAAACCTTCATAGAGTTCAATCATCAGAGTTCAGAGAGATCTTAGACCATGTGCATTGGAATATCCAGATAAAATTGTCCCACAATTTTTTTTTTCTTTCTTAAGACATTTTTTTTTAAAAAGTCAACCAATCGTGGGCCGCCACGAATCGCGGAGCCCACGAATAATAAACAAACCAAAAAGAAGGACGGTCCCGATTTTGTATACGTCCTTGTCTTTTTTGCAAGTTTTGATTTTAGTTTAAATATTTTAATAGGTAGGACTTTTCATTATTACTCCAATGCACATGCTCTT